ACACACGCATGCACAAAAAACTTGTATGTACTGTCTAAATTTACTAAGCTTAGTAAGTTTAGTGCCAGAAAAATCTTACTTCACTAATACTGATACAATCTGCTCTTCCTGGTTGGATTATAAAAGAGTTATACAGACAGCATGAAGTGTAACTTACTTACTTAGATTTATTGTTTTGAACCCAATACCATTTTATTAATTCTCCATTTGCATGTTCCTGTCATAAATGTAATAATTAGATTTTAATAACTTTTTAACAGCATTTGTGGTTAGATAACAAAATCTAATTATTAATTACTAATTATTAATGATGTGTCAGCTGTCCTGACACATCATATACCCAGTAGCTCATTTAAGGGGGTGTTTACAGTATATTCCACATGAAGAGAGGAACTTACCTCGACAGTACTCCATTAAGATAAGCACTTCCCACACATTATCACTAATGGAATTGACAGCACAGTCCAAATAACCAACAATATTTTTATGACCAGATAGTTCTTTCTGTGAAGAAACAAATTTTTTAAATGGGAAAATATAAATCTTAAACGTCTATTAGCAAAGGTTTGAAACCTCAATAAATATATTTATAGATTTTCTAAAAGAATAAGGCATGAAAATATTGTATTCAGTCACCCAAAGACTTCTATGGCTTCACTGTAAAGTTCAATGTATATGCAACCATCATTTTCTAACAAATAACCAATAAACATTTGTTTTTTTTTTTAATTCAACCAGGAAAATGTTAAATGACTCTACCAAGGGCTGGTGAGATGTATCAGTGGGTAAAGGTACTTGTGGGCAAGCCTGAGTTCAATCCCCAGGACCCATATGGTAGAAGGAGAAATGGATTAAGAAATAATCTACCAAAATAAGGGTAAAATATAGTTCTCTGGGAGCCAAGAATAAAATATTTGAACTCTAAATTTTATTTATCTAAAAAAAAGGAATCAAGTTCATATGTTTTGCCTGAAACACACTGCAATTAACACAGAACACTTCCATAAATACATGGGTACATGTATTTTTAAACACTCTAAAATAGGAACAAAGGATTAGAAAAGATTTATTTTAAAAACCCAAAGATTGACAATAACACAAGTAACTGTAGTCAAGAAAATAAAAAATAGCAAATCTGAAAACTTCTATTCCTACTACAAAAGTGGTCACCATCATATGAGGTTAAAATTAGGGAAGGGCCTGTAGCTCAGTGGTAAAGTGCTTGCTTAACATGTGTAAGGATCTGGAAGGGAGAGTCGAAGGAAGGGATAGAATATTTTTAAATGAATTTACAATCACTGTCAATAACATATCCCGTTTTAACCATGTAATGTATTTTGAAGTCAGAATTAACATGTGCAAAACTTGTTAAGTAGTAGGAGATAGGTTGCCAAAAAGAGTTGGAAGACTACCAATGCAAAGACATGATCTCCCCTAAAAGGTCTGGTTCAAAGGCAAAAAGATTTGAGTACTGCTACTGATAGTACAATGTCTCCTAACTACACAAATTCTATTGAGTGGAAGAATTAGGGCACAGTAGCACATTACCTAGGCTCAAGTTAGAGAACTTAGTCTAGGCTTCACCATTATCTTGGAGTAATTCTTTTCCAATCTTTTGGTTAATATATTTACCTTTAAAATGTTTCAAAATCTAATCATCTCTAAACTAGCTGAGAAGCAGAAACAATCAAAATTCAGAATTATATAAATAAAAATCTTTGAAAAAAAAACACATAGCCAGGTGTGGTGGCACAGCAGAGTTCTTTAAAAAGAACTTTCCTTTGCTGAATGACACCTGACCTACATTTCAGAGTTCAAAGGAAAATCAAATTTACATCATGATTGTCAAAATGGAAAGCAAAACACTGTGGTTTGGGGATTTAAATGCATGAGATGAATGTAGAAATCAGGCATGGAAACTGTAAACACCAAATTCAGGACGGGAGTGTCTTTATGCAGGAAAAGAACAGTACCGGGACTGAGTTGGGCAAGAAACAGAGAAGACTTTAATAGTATCTAGGTTTTATTTCTTAGTAGATCAACTTGATGCTGATTGTGTAATTCTCTAAAGTTTTCTATCCTCTAAATACTTCACAATTAAAGTGAATTTAAAAAAAATAAAAATTAAAAAAAAAAAAAAGGTAGCTTGCCTGCTGAACTTCCATTAGGGACGGGAGGAAAGAGGGGAATGGGCTAGCTGCCATTTAGTCTTAAATACGGCCACATGGAATGAACTATCAGTTCCCGGTTAATGTTATTTAATGACCTTTAGTTTTCCAAACATGTATGAACTCATAAGCAACTTGCCTAAAAACTTGTGAATGTTGTAGTGAAAAAGCAAAAGAAACCGAATTTCTAAAACAAAGTTATCTTTCACTTACCATAATTGTAATTTCCCTTTTACAAATGTTGAGGTCAGGCATGTTATTAACATACATTCGCTTCAGTGCACATCGGATTCCACCATGAGTCCGCACCAGGAAAACCGTGGAGAATCCACCTACGAGAGGAAACACCAGATAAATGAAAACAATGAGAAACTACTATCAAAGTCATGTACTATCATTTTGGAGCTTAATAGCAAAGGAAAAAAACACACACTGTACCTAAAACAAAAATAAGTACAGTAAACAGCCCATTGATTAAAAGTCAACTGCAGACTTCCTGTGTCAATCAAGCAGCACTTATAGGAAGTCATGCTCAAGTGAACCTGCTTTTCTTTCAAATGCCAGTATACTAAAATTTACTTTTTAGTATATTTAAGCATGCATACAAAATGTCACCATAACTAATTTGACAACAGTTATTACCCAACCATCAGACTCCTCTCTCTTGATGACAAGGTACTGCTGCTATTTAACAGGCAACACTGATAAATTCCAACCCTCCTCCAACTGTAGGGATGAGCCTATATCATTCTCAGACAACTATGGGACTCTCACTTTGCTTATCAGTTTATTGGACTTTAGGACTGGGCATATGACCACTTCTGGCCTCAGGGACATAGTCTCCTGGGATATCAGGGAATGATTTTCCGCCCTGATGAAAGTAACTGATGAAGGCCCCATCTCCCATCCCACTTATGCGTAAAAATATAATGCTTAGAGATAATGTTAATAATTTGCAGCCATGATGATCAGAAAGAAAATAACTCAGAACCCTTGTCAGCTGTGCTACTGAGTTAGCTAGCCTCCTTCCAGAACTCTTGAGATGATAAATGACTTCTTTATCTAAAGCAGTTATTTAGATATTGTTAACTGTATCTGAGAAAGGACTTAATTTGACGTACCGGGATTTTAAAGAACAATTATTTCTGGTACAGCTAAATCAAGAGACACACCTGAAAAATTTTAAACTTTGATGTAGAACATTCTATTATTTACATCTTTTTAAAGTACATCACTTTTGTTGCTACTGTATAATAGTTGGTGCTCACTATAGCTCTGAAGTATGAAACAAGAGTATTATGAAGCACTCTAGACCTCAAAACGGGAGGGAGGGAGGGACAGAGGGAGAGAGGACAGTCGTAGCAACAGATGGATCTGACAGAACGTGTGCTACTGAAAGTAAATAATAAAAATACCTGGTAGCTTTTCTAGCCATAAACTGTGTGACTAACATGAGTCCCTTCCCATCTGTAGGTATATACTTTAAAGAACAATCTAGCTTTCCCAGGCTCATATATGAAGCCATTCCATGGGACATGTAACTGAAATTTCACCTCTTTTCTCTACACACACACACACACAGAGAGAGAGAGAGTCAAATTAAAATGAAAAATGACAGTATACTTTGGCAGGTAAATTTATGTAAGTTTTCAAACTGTTTAAAAAAAAAAAAAAATCTGACTACTTAAAATAGATAGTCCAGGGCTAGAGAGATGGTTCAGTGGTTAAGAGCACTGGCTGCTCTTGCAGAGGATCCAGGTTTGGGTCCCAGCACCCACATGGCATCTAACAACCATCCATAACTCCAGTTCCAGGGGATCCAATGCCCTCTAACCTCTGCGTCCACTGCACAACATGGGTGCACTTACATATATGCAGGCAATACACTCATACACATAAAAATAGTAAAATATTTTTTAATTGCAAAATAAAATACTCAATTCAGGAGTCAGCTCTCCACTGGTAGTAAGGGAAAAGGGCCCATGGTGAAAACTTCAAGTTGCTCACATGGAATGCAGTAAGAAGAAGGCTGGGGTTAAAATGAGAGTCTGACACACTGAGGACAATGAATAAGAGGGCTTATAGTTGCGTATAAGATAACCAAGCCAGACAGATAAGAGGAGGCACAGGGCTCTGGGCCAGTGATGCAAGTCAACTCGCCCCCATGAAGCCCCTGAGGGATAAGTCACTACTATCTTTTCTTATTTGTATCCTTGGTTCTAATATAGCTCATTGAAACAAACTAAACTATAGGTAAGAATGGCTTCTTGCAAGAAGTTTCCACCTAGGAGACTGCCTCAGACCATCCATTGAAGGGGTAAATATGAGTTAACCAAGAGAGAGCACAGCTACCGCTGGTGGCTGTGATGGTCAACTCTCCACCACAGTAAAGCTACAAAGCTGGTGAAACAGATGTTGAGAACAGAGAAAATAGTCTTAACAGCCAGTGAAACACCTACAAGGTTAGAAGGTAGTTGTGCTGGCCAAGCAACTATCATCTGGCAGATAGCCAAGATCAATAGCTAACAAAGCTGGAGTCAGAGATGGACAAAGGGGCCTTCAGCCACCCAAGGTGAGCAGCGCATAAACAATGGATGATTGTCTCCCTGACTGAGCCAGGGGGATGTGCACAGAGTATGTAGGTCCTCCTTTGGCTCAGCCCATGATAGGCCAGAGAATTAACCAATCTCAAAAGAGATTACTCTCGGGCTTTGTTGGTTTCCCTATAAAAACCACAAGACAAAGTAGTTCAATGGCTTTTTTCTCTCTTGGAAACTCATCTTTCAGGAGTTTCTCTCACTTTAATTTCTCACATTTCCTCAATTTTTCCTTTTGATGTAAACTTTAAAGCTTGTTTCCAACTTTGCATATTCTCAAGAGTTCACATTTTTAGTTTTCACTGGCATGAGACAACAAACTCAGAGCTACTGTCTCAGGCTGACCTTTGGTGACCACTGAGCGTTCAGCACCTTAGGATCCTGGGCTAGGAAAAACTGGGTGGAGAAAGGTCCCATTGATCTCAAAAATCCTGCATCAATATGTAGGGGTCACCCTCCTTTCACCCTCATTTTTAAAAGAAAAAATAAAACCATATTGCACAAACTGCAATAACACGTTGGCACCTACCCAGCCCCCCACATGACTTTACTTACCTGGTTATACAGTATGCCACACCATGCACATACCTTGGTTTAATCACTTCCACAACAAAGGCCATTCAGGTGACCTGTTTCTTAGCTGTTTCTTGTCATTACCAATAATGATGCACTAAAAACCCTTGCACTACTGTACTACTTTTTGTTTGATTTGGTTTTGATTTTTTGTTGTCTTTTGTTTCTTGGTATTCGGGAGTGAAATACTACATTCGTAAGTGCTTTTGTTTCTACAGAACAGATTTCCAAGGCAAGCAGTAAAGGAAAAACACTTCAAAATTGATGCTGCTAGACTGCATGCTAAAGGCTGCAGGAACTTCTTGCTGCATCCTAAGAGCAAGCTTTCTTTCATCCTCATCAGATCACCAAGTCACTGAAAGTGTGGTCAGTTTCATAGGAAATGCCTCACACTGCTATTTCCATCTGTGTGTCTGGCTAAGCTCAGTTTGTTATCCTCTTTCATAGTTTGAGTCCATGGAATCACCATTTTCCATGAGTTTTCTCTTTCAACTAGTAGGAGGGCATTACAGAATTTTCTGTCAATGTGAGAAGTACAAATATTTTCTCCTGGTATTATTTGTTCTACTTGGTTTATAGATGTTATCTTTTGCAAATGAAAAAAAAAAAATGTGTACTACTTTCATGAACATGAAAAAAAAAAAAAAAACGGTAAGGGAAAACATACACCAAAGTTTGCCTGGGTCATGTTACTGAAGAAGGAAAAACTTGACTTCTATGTGTACCACTGTAATGTTACATGTTTTAAGAGTTGTGTGGTTTGTTGGTAATTTCTAAAGGAAATATTAAAAGCTTTCCTTTAAGGGCTGGAGAGAAGGCTCAGTGGTTAAGAGCCCTGACTGCTCTTGCAGAGGATCCAGGTTCAATTCCCAGCACCATATGTCAGCTAACAACCATCTGTAACTCTGGTTCAGGGGAGTTACAGGGGGATTTGATGCCTTCTCTGACCTCCGTGGGCATTGTACAACATGGGTACACTTACACACATGCAAGCAATCCACTCATACACAGAAAATAATATTTTTAAAATTTTTCCTTTAAAACATCAAAGAGAGGTGGAACACAGCAATCTTAGGATGAGGATATAGATGTGATAGAGCTATACTGACTTCCAGCATCTTTTGGACTCCTGCTTTATCATGTTTGAATATTGGGTATATTTAAATTTTTACAATTATTATTAGATGATACACAGCTTACAAAAATCTTACTAATTATGAAAAAGAGATATATCCCAATAAAAATTTTCACCCAATTTCTGGCATGAACTACCCATAGTTAGCGGACCCCCAAAAGACTGCCCCTACACCAAGCAACAGTGACCACTGGCTTGATTACATATGATCCAACCTAAAGGGAGTCATGGAATCCCTAAATTTGAAAGTCAATATAAGATGTCAGAAACACACAATACAGAAATTATCATGTACTTTATAAATACGGATTTGTTCATACAATTAGACTTCCTATGAAATTTCTTAAATTCATAGTTTCTGGTCTGTATTGTGCAGTACACTTGATGCTACTAGTTAATGCATCTCTTCCACTGGGTATTAAACACTGAGCAGGGCCTCACACAATAACGAATGCAAATTAAACTGTTCAATAATCTTTGAATTTATCAAACTGATCTGTGTTTCCACAAGAAAAAGAGGAAATAATTCTTGACTGTCTTGCCAAAACTAGCATTCACTAATTTCTTTGACATACCCTAACCACACGTAAAAAACGCTCCAAAGAATCTTCATTCAAAATTACCCACGTTATAAAAATATATAAAGAAAATATAGTAAACTGTCTTTTGCAGTTCCATCTAGATGACAGGCATGTGGCTATTCCCTGTACTACTTTGCCTCTTCTCTGTATGCTGGGTATGTTTCCCCCAGGTGTTGTGTCTCTTGCCACCCAACCTTACCACTGCCACTGAGAATTAGTATTTCCTAAGAAAGAAACTACTGCTGATTATCCAGACTCAAAGTTTCCCAAAGGCACCGTAAGTCTCTTGTCACAGAAAATGTTTATGGTATCCTAGAGACCTCCAACATCCCAACACATGGAAGCACTGCATGTTTATGAAAGACTGGGCTCGAGGTGTTGACTCTAATGAAGTAGAGTCCTAAAGAGTAGAAAAGACGGGAGGGGAGGGTAACTTCGTATGTGAT